AGGTTTATTTATTTATTATGTGTACAGCATTCTGCCTGCATGAGTCCCTGCAGGCCATAAGAGGGCACCAGGTCTCACTATAGATGGTTATGAGCCACCATGTGGTTGCTGGGAAGTGAACTCAGGATCTCTGGAAGAGCAGCAAGTGCTCTTAACCACTGAGCCATCTCTCCAGCCCCAAGCACCATCCTTTTATTTATCATCTATAGTTAAATGCATAAAAAAAAACATTAAAACCAAGTATGGTTTAAGAAAACAAAACAAAAAAACCAACCTCACTCTCTATTTTCTTTCTTTTACTTAACTAATTTATTTTTATTTTATGAGCATTGCTCTTTTGCCTGCATGTATGTCTATGTGAAAGTGTCAGATCTTGGAGTTACAGACAGTTGTGAGCTGCTATGTGGGGGCTGGGAATTGAAGCTGGGTTCTCTGGAATAGCAGTCTGTGCTCTCAACCACTCTCCAGTCATCTCTCCAGCCTATCACCCTCTATTTTCTTCATTCTGTTTTTTTCTACCTGGTAGCAAGTACTATAAAAACAAAAGAAAGTGCTGAATTTAACACTGGTCCTATGTTATAGAGCCAGGGGTGTTCTGATGCGAAGTTTTACTGCCAAAAAGAAGCAGCATACTGCCAGTTGCTGCCCCCAGGTTTTGGAATCAGAAATTTACAGATCCAAATCACATCTTATGTACCAAAAAGCAGTGATAAATTAAGCACTTACCTACAGGTGGGGGTGGAGGCACACACCTTTAATCCCAGCACTCGGGAGGCAGAGGCAGAGGCAGGAGGATCTCTGTGAGTTCGAGGCCAGCCTGGTCTACAGAGTGAGTTCCAGGACAGCATCCAAAATAATACAGAGAAACCCTGTCTGAAACCACCCCCCAAAAAAAGCATTTATCTTATTTTAATGAGTATGTAGAACTCATACTGGTGTCAGGTAGGGGTTTGAACACTTTACAACTATTACTTGATTAAAACAAATATATTATGGTATTTAAAAGATGAGGAGGCCAGGTGGTGGTGGTGCATGCCTTTAATCCCAGCACTCAGGAGGCAGAGGCAGGTGGATCTCTGAGTGTTCGAGACCAGCCTGGTCTGCAAGAGTGAGTTCCAGGACAGGCTTCAAAGCTCACAGAGAAACCCTGTCTCAAAAGAAAGAAAGAAAGGAAGAAAGAAAGCAAAGATGAAGAAACAGGTACAGAGAGATGAAGTAACTTGCTGAATATCAGTTACTTAGCAATAAGCCAGGATTTAAACCCAAACATTTTGATGCAGGAATTCATGCTATTAGCCTTTATGCTGTATTTCCTTTCTGTTTCTTCACATGAAGCACTGCCGTTCAAAGGTCTGCCTTATCCCAGAGTCACGAGCAATTGCTTAGTAAGGGAAATGCTAGCATTAGTGGCAGGAGTGATACTAACCATTCTGTAATCTTCCTTCATGTTTGGTCCAACCAAAAGAAGATGCATAAATATTTAGGCTGAGAAAGATCTAAGGGTACATTAGAATATAGTAAACATTCCACAAGAACAGGAACTAGAGACTAGCAAAGGGAGTCTGGTTAAGACCTGGTCTTCCAGAGGACCCAGGTTTGACTTCCAGCACCCACAAAGTGTTTCACAACCACCTCTAACTCCAGTTCCAGGAGGATCTGATTCTCTCTTCTGGCTTCAGTGAACATTGCACACATGCACGTGGTACATATACATACATGCAGGCAAAACACCCATGCACATTAACATAAAATAATAAAACATTCAATGCACTGGGAGAAAAACTGGAATTGTCTTCTTACCAATTTTTCTACTGGCCATGGTGGCATGTGCCTGTACTCCAAGCACTCAGGAGGCTAAGGCAGGAGAATTGAAGTTCAAGGCCAGCACCAGGAACAGTAAGAACCAGTCTCAAAAACAAGACCAAAACAAGACAGGAAGGAGAAAAGAGAAAGCCAGTAATGTTTATGAAGTAATCAATCCATGCTAGAGGCTGACCAGACACAGCTACCAAGGCATTAACCACCACTTCTCAAATGCATGCAAGCATAAAAGAGATAGCTGAAAGATGTTCTCAGAGTAGAGTCATGAGGCATTAGAGACCGCCTGGCTGGCTGAGTGGGGTGGTATATTGCAAAGGACATACTACTACTCATTCTCCTTAGCTGAGTGAGTATGTGAGGGACTTTCATTTCAGTCCTGCCTCCAGCAGTCAACCCTGCCCTCAAGGCCTTAGATTCGCCAAGTGTAAAAGAGGTTGAACTACATCACTGTAAACACATTCTAATTCCCCATAATTAAGCTCTCAATAAACATTTGTTTAACGAAGACCATCCTCAGCAGATAGACAAAGAACATAGAAAGTTACAGTTCCAAGGTCATGGAGTCAGTACAGGACCTGAACTAAAGCCCAGATCTCTTTCTACACTCATACTTTCCAAGGTCCAAATATGACCTTATACTTTTCCCCCCAAACTCAAAAGTCATTTATCCCATTAAATAATCTCTCTCTGGCTCCACTAAATCAAAGGACAACAGGATCAGGACAAAACTCTAAATCTCCATACTATCTAAAGAATCAAAAGGACTGCACAGATTTTGGTGCTATGTTTCTTTAGAAAACCTAAATTTAAAAGAGAGTAATAAAGGAAATGAGCCTCCACCACCTCCTCTTTGATGACCTCCCCACTCCAGACAGTGTCCTCTGTGCTGCATTTGCCAATGAAAGTGGACAACAGCTATCCTGGGTTTGGTGACTGTAATTTCAGGTCTGTCACTCTTGTTATTGTGTACATTCAAAAGGAATAGAGAAAACGTATATAGTCATTTCCACCTAACTAATTTTTACTTCTAGCAGGTAAATGTAGGTAGCAATGCAGGGTGATCTCAGCTTCCTGTACCTTGACAAGCAAAAGGCTCTCTAATACTCCACATTCAAACTGAAGAGGAAAATTGAAATCTCTAATGAAGCTGCTGTGTGTATTTATGAATATTAATGAATAAAAACTGCTTGGATGGTTTACCTAAAAAAAAAAAAAAAAGAACTGCACATAATTTAGCTGTAAACCCCTTGCCTTGGTCAAAGTTCAAATGATTTGTTCAGATAAATGAAGTTTTATTTTCACTCTGATTTTAAGCAATGTGACAAAAGAATAACATTGAGACTCCCTGAGAGTACAGCACATAACTTCTTAAGATTAATTCTACGCTAAAAGTGTGCCACTTGATCCAATGCAGACTCACAAAAGTAATCAGTCAGAAAAGGTTACCAGAAAACGTCTACAGGAACTTTACTGCTTTATTTTTATGGACAAAATACATACTTTACAGTAAACTTGATATTATACCTTCCTAGGGTTGTCAGGTTAGGAGTGAAAAGTCATCTGCCAGTCATAGTCAACTTTCTAGACGTCTCATAACAGGAGAGTCAAGGTCAAACTGTCGAGTCTTCTCATCTTCCCACCTAGCATCTGAAAAGCAACTAACTGTGAATTTAAATACTTGACTTTGTACTCTGACAACTACAAACGACCACACCCTGGTTCAGACAGTTCTGACATCAGGCTGCCATGAACAAGGACAACAGAAGGCCAGCAGGGTCACTGCTCAGTGACACTGTGAAAGCCAGAACTTTCACTACTTTTTTGCAGTTTTACTATCTATTGAGTTGGAAAACAAACAAACCAACATCTGACACCTTTTCGACAGAAATATATAAATCAAGTTATATTGGCAAACAGTCTTGACATCTGGTGCAGAGTGAGAAACTACTGTTATCATGACTATTTACTATATTGGGGCTCAGAATACTCTACCCTTCTTGCATCTATGACCCCAAGTGTCCTCAAAAGGTAGCGCTGGGTATAACTTCTGCAGACTCCAGGCCCGAGAACCACTGACACAAACCGCCCGCAGTCTCTGCTATTAACGGGAAGTGAGGGCTTCAAGCACCCGGCTTAGAGGAAACCTCAACCACCGCGCCCCCCAGTCACCTTGTCATCACCTTGAGAACAGAAAACCACACTGGGGGGGGGGACAATTCTGCCCTCAGGAAATAAGGGGTGCCCCCATCCTTTATCAGGCCGCGGATGCTTAGACTCAAGCTTCCCGCTGGGCGGGGACGGGGACGGGGACCCGACTGTGCCAGGGACACCTTGACCTAGGGCAATGCAGAAACGGACAAGGACGCCGGGCCCGCAACCGGGACAGGGACGCAAAAGTCAGCCCCAGGTCGAGCCCGCCTCGCCCGGCCTCGCCTACCGCCGCAGGCAGAGCAGGAGGCTCCCCGCCCCCGTGAACCCACACTTCTGAGCCAGCTCACCTGCAGGCGGGTCACCAGGAGGCTGTAAGGCGCCATTTTGTGCACTGACAAAGATGAGGTCGCGTGAAAGTGACGTGCCACACGGCGCTTTTGAAGGGACTCCGGAGGGGCGTGGCTTCCAGAGAGGCGCGTCACGGTGACGGTGGGGACTTCCTCCCCGGAGCCGGAGTCCAGAGAGCGCAGTGGGCGGGACTTCCGTGACGGGAACCGCGCGAGACAGAGAAGCTGCCAACTTGGCTTTCGGCGCCGTCCTGTCATCTTCCCGGGGAGGAAGTCGGGAGCCGAGACAGGAGCTCAAGGTCATCCTTCACGCCCGGAGACTCACAGGGCAGCCCCTAAACCACGCATTTTGCGGAAGCATGCATGAGGCCCTGGCCTCAACCCCGAGCACAAAAAGTAGCATGTGCACAAAAAGTGCCTGGCTGTCCTCGAACTCACAGAGATCCGCCTGCCTCTGCCTCCCTTAGTGCTAGGACTAAAGGTGTGCGCCACCACCTAGTCATATGAAAAATTTTATCCAGGGAAAAAAACTTCAGTGTATGCGTTCAAATCGGGAAGAAAAAAATTATAAAGTCTTTGATGCACCTGCTAGGGTCAGGAGAGCTAACTCTGAGAAAACTCGCGAGAACCAGCGAGACTTGGTGCAAGGAAGGGCAAACGCTGATGGGCACCTTGGCGGCCAATCATGATGTAGAACTGGGTGTAGGACCGGCGTAGGTCAAAGGTCGAGCGGAAGTTCTCCAAGCTTCCGGCCGCCGGCTTGGAGAAGCGTTATGGCTAAACATCATCCAGATTTGATTTTCTGCCGCAAGCAGGCTGGTGTGGGTGAGTCGGCTCCCTGCCCCCTTCCGTTGGAGTGGGGCGATGTTAGGAACGGGAGAGTCGGGGGGTTCGCTTCCCCCTTACGGCCTTGGCTGGGGGCTCCGCGTTTCGCGCCTTTCGGTCCCTGGGTACGCTGGAGGTGCGCGCCCGTTTGTGACTGCTCAGAAGGCAGGAGCGCGCACCTGGGAGCCTGAAGCTGGCGGGAGCGTCTGGGCCAGGTCCGGAGAAGCCCTCCCAGGTTGCTTTGAGGATTCGGGACAGGGCGTTGGTGCAAAGCAAAATTTAGGGGCACAGGCCGGGCGCGGGAGTTCACGGCTGTAATCCCAGCTCCTGGGAGACTGAGGGCAGGAAGAGACGTTCCCGGCTGTCCAGCGGTGGGCGAGTGGAGGGGGAGAAACAGGAGAAGACAGCTGTCCTGCTCAGCTCGCTGGAGTCATTGCTACCAGTCCCATCCTCCATCCTAACTTCCTTGATAAATCACCATTTTAAGTTTAACTCTGCTGTTTACCTGTCTTTTATCTTGCAGCTATCGGGAGACTGTGTGAAAAATGTGAGTGGAACATGCCCTCTGTCACATTGCCTTCCTTCTTTGCCTTTTGACGAGCCAACAAGCCGTTAATTCTAGAGGAACAGCAAAGAGGCGTTGAACGGATATGCCAGACTGCAAAGAACCCTGAGTGTCTGGCCACAACCAAAGGCTCCACAACTGTAGCTTGCATACTTTTAATACTTTTCATTTAGGTTTTGAAAAAGAAAAAATGTCTGCTTTTGGACAGTAAGAACTGTCAAGAGTAGTATGAACCTTCCCAGGCCAGTGTGTGTGCAAGCAGGCATGCGATTTGTTGACAGTGCATACACTTACAAGCTCCCAGATAACACCAAACTCTTCCCACGTATGTGTTGAAGAAAACTGAGGTACATACAGGACAGGACTGATGCTGTCGAGATAGAGAGGCCTAAGGTCATGCTCAAAGGGAGACTAGTTATTTCCCCCATAGAACAGAGATCTTTAGGAAGTAATCGCTGGTGAATATAACTCCATTCCTCTTCCTCTGCAGGTGATGGCAAATGTGTGATTTGTGACTCCTATGTGCGACCCTGCACCCTGGTTCGCATATGTGATGAGTGTAACTATGGATCTTACCAGGGCCGGTGTGTGATCTGTGGAGGTCCCGGAGTCTCTGATGCCTACTATTGTAAAGAGTGCACCATTCAGGAGAAGGATGTGAGTGTAGGCTGAGCTTTTCCCGCCTGGCCGCCTTCCTTCCTTTTCCTTTGGACCATTTGCCATCCATGGCCGTCTCTTAGGGTCTATGGTGATTGCAATGTTCAGCTAGTCATGGAGCTAACTCATCAAGCCTGTGAGCCCGACTATCAATTATTCTGTATCAAGGGCAGAATGCAAGAGAAGCAGGCCTTTATTGGTATCAGCAGTCTGGAAAACCTTTTTTCTGTTCCTTCGATGTCTCCGGTGCTTGGGTGAACGGGCACGCACGTGTGTAGAGATCAAAGGACAACCTGTGGGCGTCATTTCTCCCTTTACACTCTGGTCCTGTGGGTTGGACTTGGCGAGTACATTTGCCTGCTGTCTTAGTTAGGTTTCTGCCTCTATGAAGAGACACCATGATCAAAAGCAGACTAGGGAGGAAAAGGTTTATTTCTCCTACCCCATCAGGTAGCAGCCCACTGAGGGGATTCAGAGCAGGAACTGATGTAGAAACCATGGAGCATCACCGCTTGCTGTCCTGCTCCCTTGTGGATTGATTGCTCAGCCTGCTTCCTTACAGCATCCAGGGTACCAGCCCACGAGTAGCACTCACTACCCACAACAGGCTGGGCTCTCCCGCATCCATGGTCAATCAGGGAGATGCAACACTGGTTAATCTGGTGGGTTCTGTCGGTTGAGGTTCTCTCTTTCAAAGTGATTCTAGTTTGCAGCAGGTTGACATAACATTAGCCAGCATCCTTGCTGAGCCATCTTGTCAGCTCGTTATTACTTTTGTTTGTTTGTTTCTCGAGACAGGGTATCTCTGTGTAGCCCTGACTGTCCTTACACTAACTCTGTAGACCAGGCTGACTTGGAGCTCAGAGATTTACCTGCCTCTGCCTCTCCAGTGCTGGGATTAAATTCGTGCAACACGACCACCCAGCTTCATCATTATTCTTTTGTGTGTTAGTGTTTTGTTTTTTGTTTGTTTTGTTTTTCAGGATAGAGTTTTTCTGTATTTCCCTGACTGTTCTAGAACTTGTTCTGTAGACCAGGCTGGCCACAAACTTAAGAGATCCAACTGCCTCTGCTTCCCGATCCAGGGATTAAAGGCTCATTGGTTTTTTTTGTTTGTTTGTTTGTTTTTGTTTTGTTTTGTTTTTTCCGAGACAGGGTTTCTCTGTGGCTTTGGAGGCTGTCCTGGAACTCGCTTGGTAGTCCAGGCTGGTCTCGAACTCACAGAGATCGGCCTGCCTCTGCCTCCTGAGTGCTGGGATTAAAGGCGTGCGCCACCAACGCCCGGCTCATTGTTATTTTTATGCACATTTAACATCCTTTGTTTTTGAGTTATAAATAGCACATAGATGGCTTTTAATAAACATTCAATAGACCTGTCTTCATCTTTTTCATGCTAGATATAGGTATCAAGTGTGTGTCCCAAACTCGCCTGAAACTGAAGATTCTGCTTCCTCAGCTTTCTGACTGCAGAGGTTACAGATTTGTACCGGCACGCCCACATCGTAATAGTTTCCTTTGAAGGCGGGGACAGTGGGGGGGTGCTGAGGTAGTTTTTGCTTTGTGTCCTAGGCTGGCTGATACTCATGATGTAGTTCAGGGTGGCCTCAAACTCAACATTCCTTCTGCCTCCGCCTCCTAGGTACTAGGATTACATGCCCAACTCAGTTCTCTTGAGTCTACTGTGATAAAGGATAGTTTGGTGTGTGTGGGGGGGGGTGTGACAAAATTGAATTAAGGTTAGTTGTAGTTGATACCTTTAAAAAGAATGGTGTTAGCCGGGGGTTGGTGGCACACGCCTTTAATCCCAGCACTAGGCAGAGACCAGCCTGGTCTATAAGAGCTAGTTCCAGGACAGCCTCCAAAGCCACAGAGAAACCCTGTCTCGAAAAACAAAAAACAAACAAACAAACAAAAGAATGGTGTTGTCTAATGAATTGATTGCCAGTTTCCCTTAGTTTTTGTTTCTTAAAGCTGTGTAGTATGGAAGGGAAATGTATAGGTAGCCTTTGGTTCTCTGAGCAAGGCTCAGTGAGAGAGCTTGCAGATCAGGCTATAGGCAAGTTTAACCCTGTTCTTAGAATAATAGTAGGTACTAGCAACATAGCAACAAGGCACTGTTTCTCTTGTGACAAAATGAAAGGAAGTAGGATACAGTCTCACTAGACTAATAGAGGGTGCTGGCGTATGTAATCTAGAATAAGACAATATGTATGTAACTTCATATTTCCAAGAACAAAGTGTAGATGGTTTGTAGATGTAATCTCTCTCTTATTCCTCATACCACATGACAGTGTTGTTATCATCCTTGTTTTTATACTCCCAGGCTGTCTGACTAAACCTTGCGTCCACATTACATCTTGCTATGCTTTCCTAAGTCCTTCTTGGTGTGTGCTCGTGATGAAGAGAACACCACCCTTCCAGCTGCCTCAGCATTACACATGTGGATGCCACCCACCACCAGTACCAGAAGCCAGATGGGGCTTTGAGGAGGGAGGGGAGGTTGTTCTACATGGTGCAGAAGATGATCTATGTGAGCTGCACTTTCAGTTTTGATTGACTTTATTAAGTATATAATGTGCAAAGGTAAGGGAATAAATATCAAGTAGCAGGTAGATAGCAAAACAGTCATCAAGTCAGGACTTACCACATCCAGCAAAAGTTGATTGGGGAAATGACATTTAGGCATTTAGCTAGAGTTCCCAACTGAGAGCTTTTTCTTCATGGATGAGTTCCAGGCTTTTCTTACTCCCTGCATGCATTTTATGCCACAAGATAAACAAATGATTTCTGTTGGAAATAGCCTTCTCATTGTTCTTAATGCTGCAGTGTTTGGTTGAATTTCTTTACATCTATCTTTGTGGGGTTAAGAGGACAGCTTGCCTGGAGTTGGTTTCCCCCACTGTGAGTGCTCTGGCCCACTAATACCTTTGTCTGCTTGCTGTTTTTCCCTGTTCTTAGAGAAATGGAGGGGTGCTTGGCCCAGGATGGAGTTTTAGAGCAGTTGAAAGTATTATTTACTCTGTTGAATCCACTACTGTTTGGGAAAAGGAGAACATTGTTGATTAAGTATGAAATGGCAATTTCAGTTGGTAGTTGAGCATTCTCCTTCCCTAAATGTTCTTTCCAATTCCTCAGACAACTAGAATTCAATTGATTGTATTCTGTCTTGTACAGCTGTGAATTGTGTCCCCATCTTTCCTTTTCTCTGGTCTTGGTAGCACTGCCTAATCTGCAATGCAAGGATGGTGCTCTGGTTTTGGTGCTGTGCCTGTAAAGTATTCTGGGAGACATCCCCCAACCCCACGCAGGACATTTGTTGCTTAGAACTGGGAAGTACTGAGTGTAGTGGAAAGAGGAGGTACACACAGTTCTTAGTCCATGAAGAGACAACACTTTCTTGAACTTTCAGTTACAACTAGAGTCTCTTTCTGACTTAACCTTGGAACCAGAGAATGCTTGCTAAACGGTAATAGTCATCTCACTTGTCTGCATGCGCCCTGTGATCTGATACCTTTGGACCCCTGCCCTTCATTCTGCCTCCGAGAATTATTTTATATGTCACTTCACCTACTTCCCATTATACAGGAGTGCTCTGAGGACACCTGAGCTCATGCTCACAGTTACTCGGGCACTAGTTTCCAAAGAACACAAAGCAGCCCCGTCACATGATCCAGCCTCTCGCCCTTACAGGCAGATGACCATGTAGATGCAGTGCCCAGGCTTTTGCTGTGCAGGAGTCTTCCTGCAGCAAAAGCCTGTCCCTATTGTTCCCCTCTTCCTGTAGCTTTTATAATTTATAAGGTGATTAATTAGGCCAGTAAGCTGAGCTGGGTATCCTCATTTGTAGTTTTTCAAAACCTCAAAAAATAATCAAGAATCAGGAGTAGGCATGGTGGTGCATGTCTGTAAAGCCAGCACTTGGAATGCTGAGGGAGAATTGCCAGTTTAAAACCAGTCTGGGGCCAGGCAGTGGTAGTGCACACCTTTAATTTCAGCACTTGAGAGGATCTCTTGACTTTGAACCAGCCTGGTCTATGCAGAGTTCTGGGATGGCCAGGGCTACATGGGGAAACCTGTCTCAAAAAACCAAAAGTAAAAATAAAAGCAATCTGGGATACCCTGTGTTACAAATCATTAAGTCGACCATGGCTCACCAATATCTTCAAACCTTGGTACTGGAGGACTAATTTGTATATTCTCATGGTGTGACAGCAAGCAAATCTCAGATCCCAAACAGAATAAGAAAAATAACATTTGTGGAGTTTAACATTTATTTTTATTTATTTTTGTAGTACAGGGATTGAACAACACAACCCAGGCTCCTTGTAATAGCAGCCAGTCCACTGAGTCATCTCTTCAACACCCACATTTTTCTAATGAGTAATTAAATACTAAGGAATAAGATAATGTTGGCTAGGGGTGTACCGTAAGTTGCAGATGATTCTAATATTGGAGATGAAAGACAGTATGGATTGTCCTGATGGGAGATGCTTGGTCTAATCCATGCACTTCCTCTAACCACTCCACTGTCATTTCTCACTGAGAAACATTTCTTTCCTTTGTTATCTTGCCATTTCTACCATTCTCATGGAGTTTATTTTATTTAGGATAACTGGAAAGATGAATAGACCATTAACCCAAAAACTATAAAATGGTCTTTGAGGGACTGACAAGATTGCCCAGTGTGTACAGGCCTTTACTGCTAACCCTGACAACTGGACCTCAGATCCCCGTGTCCTCTGATCTCTGTGCTCACACCATTCGTTGGTGGCCCACTCCTTTAATCCCAGCACTTGGGAGGCAGAGGCAGGCAGATCTCTGTGAGTTCAAGGCCAGCCTGGTCTACAGAGCGAGTTCCAGGAAACCCTGTCTCAAAAAACCCAAAAAAATTTTTTTTTGTTTTAATTAAAAAATGGTCTGGCTGTGTGCACGCCTTGAATGCAGCACTCAGGAGGCTATCGTCCAACTCCCACAGATCCACCTGCTTCTCCCTCCTAGTGTGCACAGCCACCACCCTTTGCTTGCATCTTTTAAAAACTTCTTTTTTGTTGGGAGGTGTTGGGGATTAGACACAGGCCCAGGCTGTGGACTGCAAGCTCTTAGGTGAAGAGTCATGTTTTTTGTACTCCTGAACTAAATTTTATCTTAAATCTCTGAATCCAATTTCAAGGACTTAACAACTTGATTCTGTTTTTCAGAGAGACGGTTGCCCAAAGATTGTCAATTTGGGGAGTTCTAAGACAGACCTGTTCTATGAACGCAAAAAATACGGCTTCAAGAAGAGGTGATGGGTGGGCAGCTCCTTCCTCCCCCATCAAGCTGCTGCAGCCGCCAGAAAAGACACCTACCGCTAGCAGAGGGACCGGAGCCCAGCGTGTCACCACAGCCTGCTAGAGCTAGTGTCCTGGCCCCCTGCCCCTGTCTTTCCTTTACCATGCTGGTGGGGATGGAAGAGAGGTCTTCACAGAGTGCTCTAGCAGATTGGAAGAAAAATTGCTAGGTTAGTTCTTAATTTGTTTTGTTCTAGCTAAAGAAACAAGACTCTGCTCTCTACATTGATAGATTCTTTCCACACCAAAAGCTTCAAAATGAGTCTTCTGTCTGTGGCCTTAACAGAAACTGCCGCAGGCAAAAGCATGGCCTTGCAGCAGCTTTGATGTTGGTGGTCTCCTGTGACCCTCAGTGTGGCCAGGAGCCATCTGAACAGTAATGTGATGTGACACTTCCCAAGTGGTGCTGGCTTCATGTTATTTTCCTTCTTAGAAATTGGAAATTCCTGTTCTAATAAAGTTGGTGTGTATTTTCTGGTAATTGGTTGCCTTCCACATTACCTTTGAGTACCTACTTTGTAGTCATTTAGGTTTTGGTGAGTGAAACCATAATAGAGACTGTGGGGTCGAAGAAGTGCCCTGTCCTATTATCACCACTGGGAAAATTCAGAGGCGCCGGGCGTTGGTGGCACACACCTTTGATCCCAGCACTTGGGAGGCAGAGGTACACAAATCTCTGAGTTCGAGGCCAGCCTGGTCTACAGAGTGAACTCCAGGACAGGCTGCAAAGCTACAGAGAGAAAAACAAAAGACTCAGAGGCCACCTGTGCCTTTTAATTTTTTCTTCCTATCCACCGTGTGTGTGTGTGTGTGTGTGTGTGTGTGTGTGTGTGTGTGTGTGTGTGTGTGTGTGTGTGTGTGTGTGTGTGTGTGTGTGTGTGTGTGTGACTCATTAGCTCAGGCTAGCCTGGACATTGTTGCAGTCCTTCTGCCTTAGTCTTTAGAGTGTTGGCATTTCTTTCTTTCTTTCTTTTTTTTTTTTTTTTTTTTTTTTTTTTCTATTTTGGTTTTTTAAGACAGGCTTTCTCTGTATTGTCCTGGAACTCACTGTATACCAGGCTTGCCTCAAACTCAAAGAGATTCTCCTGCCTCTGCCTCCCAAGTACTGGGATTTTAAAGGCGTGCACCACCAATGCCCGGCTTGAGTGCTGGCATTTCATATGTGAGTGCCCATACGTGGGTTTTCTAATACTTCAAAGAGAGATCCTATGAGAAGGGTGAGGAAAATATTAAAGTAGAAAATGATTTTTCACAAAATACATATACATTTGTGTGAAGGGATGTTTACTTTTAAAAATTGTTAAGGATTTTGTGTATGAATGTCTTGCCTGTGTGTATGTGCGCATGCTTGGTCCCTGCAGAGCTCAGAGTTTCAGATCCCCTGGAGTTAGGGATGAATGTGAACCACCCATGTGGGTGCTGAGAATCAAACCGAGGTCCTTTGCAAGAGCAGCAAGAGCTCTTAACATCTCACCAGCCCTAACAAGTACCATTTAAGTAAACTATCAAAACTAGAAAATTTCAATTCATTTCTGTGACAATTTTCTGGAGTGGGTATTTCTGCATGTTTAGATGTATTGTTAAATAGATCTTTAGTGCCATAGATCTGGGTCCTGAGGTGTCTATGTACTTGGCCTTGTTTATGCTGCAACTTAGTAGCAAAACCATAGCAAGAAATAACATTTGCGCCTGGCGGTGGTGGCGCATGCCTTTAATCCCAGCACTCGGGAGGCAGAGGCAGGCGGATCTCTGTGAGTTCGAGACCAGCCTGGACTACCAAGCGAGTTCCAGGACAGCCTCCAAAGCCACAGAGAAACCCTGTCTTGAAAAACCAAAAAAAAAAAAAAAAAAAGAAATAACATTTGTTGGTTTGTTTTATGTGCATTGGTGTTTTGCCTGCATGTGTCTGTGAGGGTGTCAGATCCTCGAACAGGAGTTACAGATAGCTGAAAGCTCCCAGGGGATGCTGGGAACTGAACCTGTGTCCAGTGGAAGAGCAGCCACATCTCTTAACCACTGAGCCATCTCTCCAGCCCTGAAATAACTTTTTATTGAGGATTTTGGTTTGTGTCAACAACAAAAAAGCTCTTGGTTATGTATAATGTAATGAGTAGAGTTAAGACCATTTCTGTCCTGAGAATGGAATAAAGAACATCTGTCACAATCCACAGACCACACAAAGGAAGGATCTTTGGCCCAACTTGGGAAGCACTTCCAAAAACAGGACAAGGTCTTGACCACCAATAAAGCTAATCGTGAAGGCTTCCAGTGCTTTCCTCCTGCCCGGTGCTGTAACCCCCTGTGCTGTGACCACTGGGCTCTTCCTCAGTACCTGGACTTATGCTTTTGCCTGTCTCAGTGTCCCTTAATTTTTAACCTGTTGATCCTCCCACTGTAGTGCTCCTGCTTAGCTAACTCCTCCCACTCATTCTTCAGACCACTGCCAAATACAGTCTCAGATGTCTCCCAACCTGCAATCTAATGTCTCCTGTACTCCCATGTAACGTTTCCTGTGTATTCCTGAAGCATTTGATGGTTATGACCATCACCTTGTAAGCCATGTTCTTCCCAGCAGATGACATGTTCAATGTTGCATGATAATAAACAGCCTTGAAGGAAGCATAGGAACCTGTACACAAATGAGGACTTGTGTGCTGAGAAACTGCAGAAAGGTAGTCTGGAACCTAGGGTTGTGTTCAGGGAGCCTGGAGCACTTCTAAAGTACCAGGAGAAGCAGGAGGAGGATCATTTTCAGGTTAGGATTTTTTCATTGATTTTGTTGTTGCTATTTGTCTGTTTCAGAGATAGACCGTTGCCATACCTCACGCTGGGCTGGGCAGTGTCCTCCAGGCCTTGGCAGTTCTTTTGCCCCTCCTTCCCCAAGTACTTCCATTAGTGTTGTCATGCCCAGCTTGTAATTTATTCTGCAGCAACTTTAAAAATCTTCAGGTGTAGCTGGGCGATGGTGGCGCACGCCTTTAATCCCAGCACTTGGGAGGCAGAGGCAGGCGGATCTCTGTGAGTTCGAGGCCAGCCTGGTCTACAAGAGCTAGTTCCAGTACAGCCTCCAAAGCCACAGAGATACCCTGTCTCGAAAAAAAAAAAAATCTTCAGGTGTGTAATGAAAAGTGTGTGGGGTCCATTGTTTTTTCTTTCTGGTGGTGTTGGGGTTCAAACTTAGGATGTGTGCATGTGTGCTGGTGCTTACCAATTCAGCATGTCCCCAGCTGTTATTGGCCACGTGGTTTAGACCTTACATCTGCCAGCGTTAAAAGCAAATATTCCCTAAGATGCACTTAGTCTGCCTCAATGGAATGCCACTAAGAGAGTGTTGGGGAGCTTACATTCATGTTCAGAAGGATCTCGGAGGGCATGCTCCCTTCGCCATGGGTTAGTGAGCAAGCCTGGTCTACAGAGTTAGTTCCAGGATAGCCAAGGCTACAAAGAGAAACCTTGTCTAGGAAAAGAAAAAAAAGGTATTTTGTGGAAAAATCTGAGTTCATTCCCTAGCAATGAATCAGCTCACAACCTCCTGTAACTCTAGTTCCAGGGTAACTCACTCCCTTTTCTGGTCTCCATGAGTAGCTGCTGTCTGCTCTTGATCAGGGGTCAATTCCTAGCACCCAAAGTGGCTCAAGACCTGTAAATTCAGTTTCCAGGGGACTTGGTACCTTCTGGCCTTCATGGGCACTGCAATCACATGGTACATCTGGACATAAATTCAGACAAAACAGCAATACTCATACACACATACGCACGCACGCACGCACCCTGCACTCTGAACAATAGAGCGGGGCAGGTGATGTGGCTCCAGTAGGTTACCCTCTGATCACCACATGTGGACACAAAAGTATCTGTACTAAAAATGTGTACAAATATACCCCTCTATGTATATACAAGCACACAGGAAGACATTGTTATATACAACATACAGCGAGAAGTGCAACGTGTCAGTATATATCAGAAAATACATCTACCAGATGTTGACCTTGGTTTACCAATTAGCAACTGTTCTCAGTGAGGTATTTTTTTTCAATTCTTTGAGAATTTCACACATGTATAGACTATATTTTGATCATATTGCAGCTTTTTGGGGGGATAGGGTCTTGCCATGAGCCCTAGAGGTTATGGAATTCCTCTATGAGACCAAGCTGACCTACATCTTGTGGCAATCCTGCATTTACATTGTGAGTGCTGTGTTGACAGACACCAGCTGCTGCTGCCACACTCCACTTAGCAACGTAAATTCCCATGGAGTCAAACCGAACTTGCTTTTTAATAGCTTCAATCTAGGATGTAAATGTGAAAGATTCTTTGCCTTGGATTCCATCAATTCTTGGATATTTGATTCCTTATTAATGCTATCCCCAAGTGACCACCACCAAAGCTAAAAATGTTTGTTCCTTTGAATACTGCCTTTTGGTATCTTAACAAAACCATAGCTTGTGTTCTTTACCAGCATTGATCTAGAGGCACTCTTTCCCGTAACGTAGTAGATTTTTGTCCAGCAGTGGCAGTAGATGTTAAGAATCAAGCAGAGAATTTTTTTCTTGGATAATTTCAAAGAAGCAATATAAAACTTTCACCTGATGTGTGTATGATATTGTGACTCATCTTGGGGTAATTATCCCAACTACGACCAGTTTTACTTGTCATTAGTAATAGCAACTGGCATGACTTGCTTTGCTCTCAGAAGGGGTGCTGTTCCTACCTCTGCAGGGGCCAGAGCTGACTTGTGAAAGTTTGGTGTGTGTCTTTCAATATATGGTTATTCAAATGGGAGGGGACTCTGAAATGCTTGAGTAGTAATTCAGTTTACAATTAAGTCCTGGCGAGATGAAATTACACATTGGGGAAGAGAAGAGAATTCCCCTTTACCACATAACTTGAGGCAGAGCAATTTACAAGGGTGATTACTTCTCTCCTCTGGTTTATTTTTTCCTATTTATATGCTTGAACCTTTACTCAAAAATCTAATTTTCCAAGGAGACAGGAGTTTTCAGCCGGTTTTGGTGTGTGTAATGTTGCCCAAGGCTGATTGAAATAAAAGCATAGAGACTCAAGGCCCTCCACAGCTAACGGCCTTTTATCTGCATAAGCAAATTCTTGAGATACCCTTCAGCAGTTCGTTCCAGCTCATCACTGGGAAATGCACACCTTCTAGTGTTTATAGGCTGCAATTTGGCCAATTTATCACGATGAAAAATAAAACTTGCGAATTCAGACATTTTCAGGGGAGAGACACCTGTTTGAATCAGGCTCTACAAACAGTGTTGTTTAAATCACAAGATCTCCATGTCTTCACAGATGAAGGAACAAATTTGGTGCCTAAGAATGGCTGTTAACCTTGCAGTGGTGGCGCACACCTTTAATCTCAGCACTAGTGAGGCAGAGGCAGGTCAATCTCTGTGAGCTCGAGACCAGCCTGGTCTACAGAGGGAGTTCAAATGTTACAAAGAGAAACTCCGTCTGGAAAAACCAGGGAAAAACTAAAGGAAAGAAAGAAATGGATATCTGTTGCATTAAACCCAGAACACACATTAAGTGGCAGAACCGGAATATAAACACACCTGTTTCCATGCATTCTAATTATCGACTACAAATACCAGCATCCTTTGCGATACCTAAGTCACATACACGCTCCCCAGAAGTTGTATCCAAAACCCAATCAGACGCCGCTTCTCCCTGCTTGAGAGCCAATGGGAGGGCTGTTGCTAACTTGTCTGTTGTATTTTTAGCTTTCATCCTGGTGGGAGGTCTCACGGCGTAGATGGAACACTCCAGTGGGCACGGGTGCAGAAAGGGTAGGGTAAAATGGAAAAATGAAGAGGGGTGTGTATGATGCTCGCTGACGCACGAGACAAGTAGTCTCAGGAGAAGCCCCCGGGCTGTCAAGCTGGGACTGTGGGGGATGGTACACGTGCACACCGCGGGGTTTGTCCTCCCTCCCGGCGTTTCTCTCCTCCGGCCCTGGAGAGCTTATTTAAATCTCTATGCCACCTTGGCTCTCTGTCCTTTGCTAAAGTGGTCAAGGAAAATAAACGAACACGGTTCACAGTTCGTAACTTTCCGATCTCACAGAACCCCGCGTGCGTTCGGAAGCTACGGTCGTACCAGAACCCTCAGTAAAATGAATACAGAAACGAATTGGAGAATTGGGAAATATAGGCGGCCTAAGGCGCGCGGGGGCGGGGGGCCAGCGGTCCTCCAGCCTTGTGGTCCCACAGTCCAGTCCTCCGACTCTGAGCCCGAGAGAGCGTGACCAAAGTCCGGGCCGGGGCCGCAGGTGCTTCCTCACTTGGCCAGAGCTGGCACCTCTTATGCGACTAGGCTATTGCTAGAAGGAGCGTGGCTCTGGTGCTTTCCCGAGCCGAGCGGGGGCAGCCTTGCCCCGAAAAGCACGAGGACTGCAGCAGAGTGGTCGCGGTTGCGCTTGGCTAGCGCTTTTATCTGGCTTTTGGAACCCAAATTTCAAGGCTGAGAGTGCATGGTTAACTGGTGATCCGCTCCTTTTTCTGTCCCTCAATCTCCTCGACCCCATACCCTCCCTTCCCTTCGATTTTCCCCGTCCCCACCAGGAGGGCGACGCTAGTAAACTGAGGTTAGCTCGGGTTCAGATCCAGAACCATTCTAGAGCTGGAGTCGTGCTCCCATCTTCCCAAATTTAGAACAGATCGGAACCGGACAGTGCGAGCCACGGGGACCTTCAGAGCTGGAGAGTCGCGCTGTCACGGTCTCAGGGGGCCGTGGGAGGTGGGGCTGGTGCGGGGCGGACTGGAGCAAGAACCCTCGGGGCCTGATGACGCCAGCCCCTACCGTCGACATCCACTGTATTCCAGACTAATCCCTGATGGTCTGCTGTGTCCCAGGCTCGTCCCTACCCTCCCAGAGCTTGGTCTACACCGGTAAAAACCGTCCATGGCGAGGTCAGACTGCTTTGGAGCCTTAAGGGAATAAATCGGGTGCCCAGGCGCTCAGATGGATGAGGGCGAGCAGAACAGCTGAGGACACAGCAGGGCGGGGTCTAGAGGATCAGCCGTGAGAAGATCGCGACCACGCAACGAGCGCTATCAGGAATACCAACCCGCGACTGGGCTGCGAGGGGTTAAAGGCGCCACGGGAAGAAAAGTAGTCCCGGCCTCACGGAAGGAAAAGTAGTCCCGGACCCGCCCCGGCTGGGCGGAGGGACGCATCACTCAGGGGTGGGGAAAGAAGATTCGTGCGCAGGGTTGCTGAGGGTGAAACTTTTCATTGACTTTGCTCACTTCGGGCCGGGCGCGGGAAGGTGCCGGTCGTTGTTACTGGGTGTCGCGGGAGCCGAGAGGCCAGAAGGACAGGACTTGCCCGCCGGCCACATCCCGGGCGGGCCTCCATCCACCGCGTGACGGGTGCCATCCTCGGGTCCGCCATCCCCGCGCCGTCGCCGCCGAGCTCGACCTTCAGAAACAGCGGAAAGAATCGTATGAACCCGGTCCTCGGCCCCTCCAACCCTCAACGACGTAGAAGGACACCGTGGACCTCGGCCTCGCGGCGCCGGGGAGGCTGGGCGAGAGACCTCCGTCCCGCGGCCTGCAGAGCGCCCCTTCGCGGAGACCCGAGTGAGTGCGCGGGCGGGCGGGCGGGCGGGGGCGCCCACACCGGTCCACTCCCTGGCCGCCTCTCCCTAGATCCGTCCGTGTCGCTCTCTCATCCCTCTTTGATCCTGGGTTACCTAGTTCCGAGTGCGGCCCTCTCCCGGGCGGAGTGCGTTTCCTCCTTGACCTCCTTCCCTATTTCTTTACGCCTCACTCGCTAGGTTTTCCTCGTTCCCCCCAAAGAAACCGAACTCCTGTCTACGTTAAATAAATAAGGGGTAGGAAGGGGATTCGATCCTTGTTTTTCTGCTGCCTTTCCCGTGTGAGGGGAAGCGGGGCGGTGATTATTAACACAGTTTGTTTCTGTCTCTTTGGGACCTATGAGATGGACACCTCCTTTTTGGTGACCGGGCGGGTTAGTAGAGACTGCCCTTGGGTTGCTGAACAATTTTTATTTGCAGGTTGAACTCTTTATATTCTTGTGTGGGCGGGAAAAAGTACCCAGAGAGTCTGTCAAATAGTGTGTTAATTCTGTTTGATCTCTCCTATTCCTAAACTTCCCCTTCAGTCCAGGGAAGATGAACTGCTCCCTTGACCAAAATCTAAGGAGGGAAAGGGGAGCATGGGCAGAGGGGCCGTCTACAAGCCATCCCCTTCCCTGGGAGCAACCAAAACCTCACACCGCAGGCTTACGGATCGGATCGGCAGACAGGGTTTCCGGTGCCGGTTCAGTGCCTAACCTTATTCTCTCATTTCTATCCACCCAGCTCTGGAAGTGGGTTTCTCTTTGATTTCCTGACAACAATAAAAACCCTGTTGCCTGTCTGAGCGCCTACCCCCACCCCTCACTTAAGCACCGGGGAAAACAGCTGGTGTGGGAGGAAGGATTAGGGAGCTTTAACACCCTGCAGGGGAGGTTTGCAGAGGATCTGGTAAGTCTGGTCCTAGAGTAGGCCTTGCAGTGGGAGGAGGTTCAGAATTTGAGTTTTAGAAGATGTCCAGGTTTCAGATATAGGGATTTTGCTTGCTTGCCTGGGACCCTTTTCCCATTTCCTTTACCTGGGTCTGGTTTCGCTTGTATTAGAAGTGGGGTGAGTCTTGCACATCACACACACACACACACACACACACACACACACACACACACACACACACACACACACACACACACACACACACACACACACACACACACACACACACACACACACACACACACACACACACACACCGGCTTCAGGCCTTATTGTTGACTGGGCGCCTCCCCAGAGCTTAACTAGGAATTTCTTTGGCCGACAGGGGAGAATTGGATCTAATTCCTGCCATTCCCTTCTTGGCTGTGGGGATGCTGGAGCCGAGCCTACTGGGTGTTACGTGGAAAGGGCCCGTTTCTCCTTGGGTACAGTGTTCCCACAGCTACCCCAGACAGCGACAGTCCACTGAGATCCCGAGGCCGGAGCCCCAGGGATGGCCCTCTTGCCCAGCCCGTTCCCTTAGTCGCAGAGCCCTAATTCAGTAGACTCGGGAGGTCATGAAGGGAAAGAGGAGAGTTTCCTGGACGTGGACGTGGGGAGAAAGATAGCCGGTGAGAGGCCTTATGGGCAGATTTATGCCGAACGTCTTGGGCGGTGGGAGGGGGAGCGCCTACTCGCCGCAGCGCGCATGTGCATCGGAAACTTTTCCTGCGCTCCGAACCCTAGGCCAGGTCCTGGTGCCGAGCATGCGCGTTCTAGCCGGCCGGTCTACGCATCGTGCGCAGGGAAGTGTAGTGTGCTCGAAAAGTAGGTCACGAGTTCCTACCCGCGTCCAGAGGCCTGAGAACTACCGCTCCCAGAGTGCTGAGCGCGACACCTTGGGCGAGGCGAGCCTTCCGCCCCTGAGATCTCAGAGAGCCCTGCCCTAGACAGGACTCTTGGAGTACGGCCAGGTGGTCTAAGCCCAACGCACTCGTCACGCATCCTGGAAATACTGCAACCCATATTGCCGGTTGGGCGACTGCCTCCCGGACAAGAGCTGAGGACCCATGGCTGGGGAGCTGCCCGAGCCTGGTTCCTGTCCGAAGTAGCTTTTCTCTTGACCATGTTAAAATACTCCACCACAGGCATCGACCTGAATCGTGGCGATTGATTGATTGTAGTATGTTAGGAATTTGACATACCTGAATGGGGGGGGGTAGAGATTCTTCGATCTTACCTCTCCCTTGCTAAAATGTGAGCCTTTTTTTTTTTGTCTTGTTTTGCGTTTTCATTAGTTTCTCTGGAATCAACATTGATGGAACCTTTGTGTAGCACCAGAACTCCTTCCTTGTTTCATTATATCTTTCTCCTAAACGCTAAAATACACATCAACACAAGGGGTCGAATCGAGGTTTAACCCGTGGCTGAAGTAAAAGAAGAAGGGAAAAGTGTTTGGACACATTTTTTTTAATGTATGTTGTATATATAGCATAGGCTAACCTTGAACTTCTGACTCTCCTGCCTCGGCCTTCTATCTGCTGGAATTACAGGCACTGTACACCTTAGCTTGCAGCTTTTTAGTACATTGTCAAAATGAGATTTTACTGTTAAACACTTTCTGGTTTTGAGAGTTTCTCCCTATATAGTACTGGCTAGCCTGTTACTTGCTACGTAGACGAGGCTGGTCTTGAACTCACAGAAATCCGCTCTACTTCCTGACTGCCACCACGCTAGGCTATTCAACATTTCCTTCTTTTATTTTTCTGTTACCTTTCTAGTGTTTTGTTGAAAAAGGTCTGAATCCTCTGCAGCTGCTCAACAAATCTGCTTGTTCCTTTTTTGAAGAGTAGTTATTTCTAAGCTTTCTAATCTCATCATACTTCTATAAATATTTTATATATAAGCACTATAATTTGTCCATCACTTCCTAAAAAACAAACTCAGCCAAATGGTCACTCCTATCTTTAGCTGAAGACAGGATCGTGCCAGAACTTTAATCCTCTTCTCCTTAAGTTTCTTGAAGTCAAAGTTAGAGTGGGTAGAGCAGGAACTCCCGTTCTAGGCACCTGGCTTTCTGTAGGGTTTCACACCGTAGCCATCTGGCCTGGCCTGTTCTCCGATTAGAGAGGCCACGGAGCGATATGCTTCCCTGTTTGTGCAGCAGCACCACTGAGGTACAAATTGGTGTGCAGCCTTAATTGCTTATGCTGCAAATACTGGTTCCCAGGCAGGGATGATGACAGTGGTGCTATTGTATTTTGGGGTGAGAGGCTTATTTCCCAATGACGTTGGCCTACATTTAGAATTTTGAGGCTGTACCATTCAGGGTTATAACTTGGAAGGCAATTATACAGCAGAATTTGAGGACATCTAGAAAAGTGTGGAAGCCCCTCTGGGTAGGATAATTAAGAGGCTCTACGGTAATGTCATGATGACATTGAGTCTGTATTACTTTCCAAAAAGTTCTTTGGAAACACAGCCTTTAACTGTAGGCCTCTTGAGACCTGATGCCAACTTTCTTTACAGCTTTCCAGTCTCTTCAAATTGAATACCGTTAGTGGACCACCATAGAATTACACATAGATACGTGTCTCTTCATATGGGTATGTGCATGTGAGTACAGGCACCTCGGGCCAGAGGCATCAGATTCCTTGGAGCTAGAGTTACAGAGTGTTGTGAGCTGTCTGGTATGAGTGCTGGGAGCCAAACTCAGGTCTTAACTGCCAAGCCATTTCTCTGGTTCCTTGAACCTTTTTTTTTTTTTTTTTTAATGTATGTATGCAGTGTTCTGCCTACATGTATGCCTGCAGACTAGAAGAGGGCACCAGATCTCATAATAGATGGTTGTTAGTCACCATGTGGGTGCTGGGAATTGAACTCAGGACCTCTGGAAGAGCAGCCAGTGCTCTTAACCCGAGGAGTCATCTCTCCAACCCCTGAACCTTCATTCTTAAGCTACCAACTCAGAAGGCATGAATTGCTTGAACATAGGAGTTCCTGGTTTAGTTTAGCTGGCATTGAACTCCTGGATTTTTTGCTTCTACTTCTCAAGTGCTGAGTTTACAGGCTCACACCACCATGCTCAGCTGAAGCCTAGAAGTTCAAAGCCAGCCTGGGCAACATAAATGCAAGTGTCTCTGACTCCCACTTATGACACACACAAAAGAAAAGCCTATTTTCCCACATAGGAAAGGCCCACAACAGAGTAACAGGCTTTGAGCTTTGTACCTGGTGATGACCCTGACCCTTATCAACTAAGCCCCTTAGTCTCCCCCTCCCCCACACCCTAAGACAGAGTCTTTCTATGTAGCCCTGGCTGTCCTGGAACTCATTCTGTAGATCAGACTGGCCACGAACTCAGGGATAGGCCTGCCTCTGCCTCCCAAATGCTGAGATTAAAGGCGTGCAACATCCCTTATTCTTTTTAACTATTCTTCTCTTTAAATCGAAAAGGATCCTAGAACCAATCTATCTTGGTCATGAGTAGAGGTTTGAAGAGACTAGCAAACGTGTTTGGAGGCCAGGCTACAGGGGAAATCAGGGTTCCCTGAATTCTGAGCAGTAACTCCTTCCTGTCTGTCAGACATGGACTGGGGGTGACTAATGGGGTACTTATGTGCTCCTACAGGTGGACTCTGGGTGCCTTCTCAGGTGTACACACCCAAGTCTTCTGAAGGTTGGGTTCTCAGCATGCTCCATAAAAGCCCTGAACCTAGGCCTGAGGATTAACATGAAAACCTGTCACAGTAAGTGGGCAGAAAACAAGGTTCTCAAACCTAGAGTCAGACTTCATTTTGCAAACTGAAGGAAAATTAACCAAAATGCAGCTCTGAGTCGCACATAAGACAGAAGATGACTGGTCAACCTTGTCTCTACTGAGGTCAGCACATGGCTTTGCCTGCTGTAGAGGGGCCTTTTTAGTTCAGTTTCTCCCCAAGCAGGAATCTAGAATCCGTCCTTCTGGGGAAAATGCAAGTAAGATGGTTGACTCCCAGTACCTCACAGATCATCTTCCTGCAACATGAGGCTTGCCCAGACCTAGGAAGTAAAGCTTTTTGACCTCAGTGGGATCTGGCTATGAAAGAATCCCAAAATAACAATCTGAGTATTTACCCTGGACTGCCTCCTCTGCAGGGTTCTCCAAACACTTGATAAATCTGATCTGGTGCCGAGGACAGGTGGTCACACGGTCCTTGGGAGACTGAGTGATGATGGGTCCCCAGCTGGAAGCTGTAGGGTGATGGAAAATTTCTTCCCTCTGCTATCTTCATCACTTTCAACCTTGCCAGAAACTGTGGAGATTCCCTCAGGCTACACTGCTGCTTCTCTTAGTGCCCTGCCAGCCACCAAGGCCCTGCTTCCTGCACTTCCCCTAGGCTCCCCTAGTCCAGCCATTCCCTTGTGAGCTGACAGATTGTGCTTTTGACAGTTTTTGCCTTTTTCTGGGGGCTCATGGCCTTGTCCTCATTACTGAGGCTGGACAGAAATGCAAGCTTTGGTCACACTACCAAGTTCTTAAATTGGTTCTGTAAACTCAGACTGAGCCCCAAAGCATACACACCTATGGGGTTCAGGGTGACAGATGGATGCGACCGGAGTCCAAGCCCCAGGGAGAAGTTGGCAGTGCCCCTTCATGTTCAGTGACCTGTGTGTCATTCAGTTTAAGGAGGGCAGCTACAATTTTGAAACTTACATCTTTGAGCATTTGACAGTTTGGGGGCACAATTTGATGGAGACATTGCAGAGACAGCAAAAGCCAGATCCAGCTAGATTGGGGGCCTAGTTTTATTCCTTAGTTATTTGATGTCATTCTGACAATGTCCTGAATACTCAAAATGGTAGAAAGCACAGTTCACTCCTATTTTAAATGCCTACTAAGTACTTAGTATAGGGGAGCTTTATCCTTGAACCTCAGGTTACTGATGAGGAAACTAAGGTTTAGAAAAAAGGGATTTGTCCAAAGCCCGGAATGATCATTCTTGCCTGTAAGCCCAGCACTTGGGAAACAGAGGTGGGTGGATCACTGCAAATTCAAGGCTGGCCTGGTCTATTACACAGTGAGTTGTAGGCCAACCAAAGCTGTATAGACTCAAAAGGAAAGAAAGGAATGTGCCACTAGACCTATGATCAAAAGCTGGTGGATTTCTGTCTGTCCTTTGTCATTGGTCACCGTACTGGTACGGCTGGGTAATGTATGCTAGGTGCCTTTCTGCATATGTATTCATCATGGTCCTCTCCTTTCTTTCTTCTTAGAACCCTGTGGATCCCGGGGCCGCTCATCTTCTACTCCTGCCGCTGCTCTTGGCCTGTGCACGTACCTCGGGCTGATTCTCTGCCTAAGAGAGGATCATGCAGCTGGAGATCAAAGTGGCCCTAAACTTCATCATTTCCTATTTATACAACAAGCTGCCCCGGCGACGGGCAGACCTGTTTGGGGAGGAGCTAGAGCGGCTTTTAAAAAAGAAGTATGAAGGCCACTGGTATCCTGAGAAGCCATTGAAAGGTTCTGGCTTCCGCTGTGTCCACATTGGGGAGATGGTAGACCCTGTGGTGGAGCTGGCTGCCAGGCGGAGTGGTTTAGCAGTGGAGGATGTGCGTGCCAATGTGCCCGAGGAGCTGAGTGTCTGGATTGACCCCTTCGAGGTATCCTACCAGATTGGTGAGAAGGGAACTGTGAAAGTCCTGTACCTAGATGACAGTGAGGGTGGTGGTACCCCAGAGCTGGACAAGGAGATCAAGAGCAGCTTCAACCCTGATGCCCAGGTGTTTGTGCCCATCGGCAGCCAGGACAGCTCCGTGTCCAACTCTCCATCGCCATCCTTTGGCCAGTCACCCAGCCCCACCTTTATCCCCCGATCTGCCCAGCCTATTACCTTCACCACTGCCTCCTTTGCTGCCACCAAATTTGGCTCTACAAAGATGAAGAAGGGTGGCGGGGCATCAAGTGGTGTAAGTGTGGCTGGTGGTGGGGCGAGTGGCCAGCAGCCAGCGCCACAGCAGCCACGCCTGGCCCGCTCACCCACGAGTAACCTGCTGAAGCACAAGAGCCTCTCTTTGTCTATGCATTCGCTGAACTTCATCGCAGCCGGTCCTGCCTCCCAGTCCCAGCTTTCACCCAATGCCAAGGAGTTTGTGTACAACGGTGGGGGCTCACCCAGCCTCTTCTTTGATGGGGCAGATGGCCAGGGCAACAGCACTTCGGCCCCCTTTGGGAGTAGTGGAGCGGGCACTTGCAACAACAGCAGCTTTGATGTGTCCCAGGTGTTCGGAGGTGGCACTAACAGCCTCTTCTTGGAGAAAACACCCTTTGTAGAAGGCCTCAGCTACAACCTGAACACCATGCAGTATCCCAACCAGCCCTTCCAGCCTGTCGTGCTGGCCAACTGACCGTCTTCTGTCTGCCAGGCCAGGAGCACCCTCGACCACAGAAAAGAGAAAGGCAGGGCCAAACGAAAGAGGAAGAGAACTATACATAAAGATTCCAGTCTTCTCACTCTCACAGCTAGGAAAAAGATCCGCCCAGGCACAGAGTAGGAGGGGCTCCCGAACACGGAGTCGTGTGTAACTCAGCCCCTGACTATTTTCCGGCCTGCCTTTGATTTCATTTGGTTGGTTTGGGTTTTTTGTTTTTGTTCTGTTACATGTAGTTTTCTATATGGCATCTTTAATTAGTGGTTTCCTGCGCTGAGTGGTTCAGATGTGAAGCTGCTCCCCACCCCCTCCTTCATGCTGTTTGGGATTGGTGTGTTCAAGATCACAGGGAAGAGCAGCAACTGCAACCAGACGCCCCTGGGGCAGGGAGAGGCTGGCCCTGTGTGCGTGACCTCTACACTAGCTATCTTCTCAGGGCCTGCCACCCGGATAAGTCTGGCCCTAGCTTCAAGTCCGCCTCGGACTGGGCCACAGGGAGCTGCTGGCTGGCCACTTGACACCCTCCACTAAAGCTAATATCTGTGAGTATAGGGAGGTTAGCATTTACTTTAGCTGGAATCCTTCTCTGTCCTGTGGTCCCATCCCTCACCCCCTCCTGGCCTGGACATGATGTATTAGCCTCTCCTTCTCCGGTGCAGCCTTTTCCTGAGCCTAAGGTTAGATGGAGTAAAGGGTAGAGGTAGGGTAAGTGTGTGTGTTTTTGTGTGTGCATTCATGCCTGTGAATGTGTGTGGCTTGTTGTCATGTTCTAAAGGATTCCAAGCCACGTGGAACTTCCCTCTCTGGGTATGATTCTGGGTTGCAACAAGTGCTTATTTATGTGCAAGGCTGTGGGATGGGCCCAGGGTAGATTGATAGTCCATTTGTAAGGCTGTAGGGCAGAGTATGTGGGGGGTGACAATGGCTAAGCCTAAGAAACTCCAGAGGAGAGCACTGCACAAGGAACTGGTTTTCCAGACTGCGGAGGGAGCTGCACTTTTTGTTTTTGACCAAAAAACAAAACTCAGAAGGTCGTGAGAGATACCCAAACCTGACGCCTAAGAGGAGTCCCTAGACTTCAGCAACTCTGTTGTGTGACCTTAGCCCAGGGTAGGGACAGGGAGAGAATTTGGAGTCAGTGCCTGTGGTGGGCAGTACTGAGCCTTGAATTGAGACTTTGTGATTTTTTGGTTGTAGGTGTAAATGCATTTGAACCATCTGAGAACTTTTGGTTCCTGTCTCTTGCCATACTGTGTCTGCCCTCACCTAGCACTACTTGACCTTGATGCTGTGAGATAGGAACTTGTGGGCAGACAAGAGAAGCCCCATCACCAGAAAGCACCAAAGCCCTGACCTCCGCCCTCCCCATGGACTCCCTGTGGGAAGGAACTGCTGTGGCAGTGAGTTCAGCCCAGACTGACACTGCCAACCCCTCCCCTTGCACTGGGCACTCGCTCTACCTCCCCCAGCAGGGCAAGGCCCCGAGTTGTCAGCCCAGCACCGTCTGTCCCTAGTCCTCTCCAGCCAGCCTTTCTGGGCCTCCTGTTCCTCACCTCAGCGCCCACACAGGTGACAGTCCCTGGTAGGTAGCCTCTCGGGGACAAGTCGGGTGTTGCCTTACCCCATTTCCAGCCCCTCCTCACGTGCACACAGGTACCACCTGCACCCAAGCCAGCCTGGTTTCTCACACATGGGGAGACTGGAGCCCAGCCCCCTGTGTCATTTGACGTAGGAAAAAAGTGAGTGTTCAGGAACGTGACTCCTGGACAGGGCTCTTGGGCCCAGTTCAGTGTCTCATCGCAAATCTAGGCATTTTTGCTTCAATTTTTTTTTTTTAAGAAAAAAAGCTCTGCACTAATTTACCTGGTTTCGTAGAAGAACTTTTTTTTATTTTTTACATTTTTTGGTGTCCGTTTGTATTGAATAATTTGCTACATTTGTAAAATGTAAGAGGTATATATAATATATGTATATTTCTAATGTAAGAAACGTAATTTTTTTCTTTTCAAGATTTTTTCTTAAAAAGGAGAGAAACCAATATTTTTTCAGGAAAAACAAACTTTAAAAAATAGGAACATAAAACCTTTTCCTCCCGTTTCCCAATCCTCTCACCCTCTCACCCAGGAGCAAACCTGAAGGTGGAAATCTTGCTAAGAATGTAGCCGTCAGTCTAGAATGCTGTCTTTCTCTTGATTCTGTAGCGTCTCCCTGGGGGTGGGAATAGGCATTGAGGCAGCAGCCATGGAGAGGAGCCGGAAGCAGGGCGATGACCTTTTTTTCTCTAGTAAAGGAAGAATGCAATCAAGACATTTTGTATTCAGAACGTTGTGCAATATTTTGGGATGAGACATTGGTGTGTTTAGAGATTTAGTTTCAAAACAAAGATTGATCAAATCTGTACAGTTTATATTGTTCCAGATTTTTTTAAGTTTGTATTAAAAGCATGATATATAATAGCCTCCTGCTTACTCTTGGTTTGTTTTGTTTCTGGGGTCCCTTTGGAGTAGAGAAATGGCCACTGCTGTGGGCCTCCCCCTCTCAGTGACTCAGCTCTGGGTAGACAAGGTTGGCCTCATCTCCCTGTGGTGCGCCCACTACCACAGTCCTTTTCCACACTTCGAACTGTCCTCTTGGGTTAGGAGCTGCCACCCACCTCCCCTTGTCCCTCAGCTTGTGTTCAGTGCAGCCAGAGCTGGGAGGGTTTTGTAGGAGCCATGTATTCCTTGGAGGAAGAAGAGTAAGATGGCCCGCCCTGCTTGGATCTCGTATTTATACTCTGCTCCGTGCCACGTGGGCTTTAGCAGGGGCCTTTCTTTCATCGGCCTAATGCTTGGGTTCTCACCCCCACCCCAGCTGGAAAATTTGCAGAGCTGAGGAGGCTTTCCTAAGCCACGGCCTCAAAAGCAGCCACCTGCCATTACCTGATTTCCTTAAGGTTTCAGCCACTTCCTTGTTCTGGGACATAACTTTCCTTTGTAACCTAGGGCACATTACTACTGCCTACAGCACCTGGGCTGCACCGGGCAGGGAATCTGTGAAGGTTGGCTTTGTGTCATTCCACCCTCGAGGCAAGCCAGTGCTAAAGACGGTCTATCCATTTGAAGAGTTTAGAAGTGGGTTCCCAGTTAGGGTGCTTTGTAAGTTCACAGAGTTAGTAAGTGGTCAGCTGAGGTTTTGAGGCATGCCTGACTGTTCATCAGCAGTGGGTAGTGACAGGCCCTGTGAAGGAGGAACCGAGATGCCTGCCTTCCCAGGTGTGGCATCTCCTAGATAATGGCTATATATAGCCCTCCCCACCCAAACACGAACCATAGCTAGAAAACTCAAAGCCAGCTGGGTGGTGGTGATACACTCCTTCAGTCCCAGCACTCGGGAGGCAGAGGCAAACAAATCTCAGAGTTCATAGCCAGCCTGCTCTACAAAGTTCCAGGACAGCCGGGACTACACACAGAAACCATGTCTAGAAAAGAAAACAAAAAGGAAAGAAAACATCCCAGCAGCCTGGTGTCAAGCCCGTTGTTGGCCTATGGAGCACAGGGAGGTCTTGGTCCACACAGAGCCAATCCCTAGCTCTGTGCCAGGTTGCCTGTCAGCAGGGGGCCCAGGGCAGGGGTAAAATGGCCCCTCAGCTACTTATTCCTGTTTATACTACAGTAAGCACAGGTCCTGACTCAGCAGGTACTTTGATCACCTGCTCAACTCCCTGACATGGACATGAAGGGTCTGGGCAATGCCCAGCCCAGGTGCCAAAACCTCTGGAACAAGCCCTCCAGTTCAAGGTAGGGATCCTAGAGATTTGAACAATCTACCCCAGCCAATCACCATAATATCCTCACACATTCAAACCTCTATTTAGTCCCAAACAGCTCAGTGGCTCTGAAGAGTGTGAGGGACATGATATTCCTACAACAAAGGGGTAGAAAGAATATTCTGGGGCCAGAGAGAGGTGACTCAAAGGATAAGGTCACTTGCCACCAAGTTTATTTATTAAAAAATAAGAATAAGCCAGGAAGTGGTGGCACACACCTTTAATCCCGGCACTTGGAAGTCAGAGGCAGGCGGATCTCTGTGAGTTTAAGGCCAGCCCTCTATAGAGAGGGTTCCAGGAGAGATTCCAAAGCTATACAGAGAAATCCTGTCTCAAAAAATCAAAATAAATGAATGTTCTGGTAGACTCAAAGGGAGTCTGTCTTGGGACTACAGGTAGCAGAGCAGTGTCAAGGCAGAAAAGCACAGGACTCTGGGAGAACACACACCACAGGAGGCTTCCTGAAGCAGTGAAGAGGGTCCAAGTTAGCTACAGAAGAGAAAGGCGAGGCTCTAGGAGACTGCAGAAGAGTAAGCCCTGCCCCTCCGCACAGGTTCCAGTTCCACCCTGCCACTAGACAGCCGGGACACCCTGAGCAAACCTCTCCACTGCTTCTGCACCTTGTTCCCTCCTGTCTAAGGTGGGGACTAATTGCACCTCCTCGAGAAGATTAAATGAAATCATGGGTGGGAAAATGCTGAGCACAGTGGCTAGTCTGGACCAAACAAGGCGAGTATCATTTTCATCGTGGCTTCATTGTCCATCTTCAAATGCTCTGGCCAGCCCAGTCCAGTTACACCTCCCTGCGTCAGCAGACAGGCCGAAACCCAAGCTGGGCTGGGAAAGGAAACTCAAGAGTAGAGCTTGAGTTGCCTTGCCGAGATGGGAGGTTGCTTGTCTCAGCAAGAGGTGAAGTGTGTTGAGCTCTACTCTTCTCCTGGGGCCCAGCCTCTTGCCTAGGATAGGACGGGCCTTTGACGTGTGTCCCTGAAACCTCCTGGGAGTTTCTCCCTGGAGAGGCAGATAGAGACATAGGGGTGACTCACAGTGAACCCTGCTCCCTTGTCATGGCCTGCCTGAGTCAGTGTCCTTGGGCCACAGGGATGACACTGTGTGTCCTCTACAACTGCCGCCTTCTCCCTGTGAGTGAGCCAACATGGAGAGGTGCACCCCCTCCTTGCCATGAGCCTGGCCAGTCTGGCCAGGGCCCAGCCAGAAAGTCTCCAAGCCCTGGGCAATATGACTTTAGATTTAGAGAACTTCATTGTCAGCAAGAGAAATAGGTTCTAGGTCCTCAAAGTTGCCAATTCACTGTGTGACCTTGAAATTCTCTTGACATCCGTCCCATTTGTACAATAAGCAACAACAGTGGGGCCAGCCCCTCTTCAAGCCATTTGAGCTATTCCTGGCCAGTGTGTCTCTCTGATCTAGTGAGGTGTCTGTGACACCATTCCTGAGTAGGAAGGGTGAAATGATGGACACATTCCGTGGGACAGCTGAGACACCCTCCACACACGAGGCCTAATCAAATGACTCCTGGCTAAAGCAGAGTTAGGGAAGGCTGAAAAGAGGGAAAGGCCTGGCCTGCAGCCTGGACCTATGGGTTCTTCTAGCTCTGCCCTGACATAATCCACTCTATTACAGACACATGTGATATTCAGCATGCAACATGGAGTCAGGAATGTAGTTCAGTGGTAGAGCACTAGCCTAACTTAGCATGCATAGCACTATCAAAAGCACAAATAGAGTCTGGCGGTGGTGGCGCACGCCTTTAATCCCAGCACTCGGGAGGCAGAGGCAGGCTGATCTCTGTGAGTTTGAGGCTGGGCTGGACCGACAGCCTCGAAAACAATACAGAAGAAACCCTGTCTCGTAAAAACCAAAAAAAAAAAAAAAAAAAAAAAAAAAAAAGCACACATAGAGCCTCCAATAAGTGCTGACGCTTTTTTAGGCAGGAAGAAATATGGGATAAATAGAAGACAAGACTGCTGTCTCTTGCAGTGAGGTTGTCCAAACAAACAAGTGAGACATAACTCAACTGGTCGACTGCTTGCCTAGCATTCATGAAGCCTCTAATCCCAGTGCTTGGGAGGTGGAGTTTAAGGTCATCTTTAACTATACAGAGTTTGAAGCCAGCCTAGCTTACATGAGACCTTGTCTGGGGCAAAAACAAACAAGCAAGCAAAAAACAAAAGCTACTGCCAGGCAGTACTCCCAGCACTCGGGAGGCAGAGGCAGGCGGATCTCTGTGAGTTCGAGGCCAGGCTGGACCGACAGCCTCCAAAACAATACAGAGAAACCCTGTCTCATAAAAAACAAAAAACAAACAAAACAAAACAAAAAAAAGCTACTTTAATTTTTTATTTTTATTTATTTATTTATTTTTAGGCAGGGTATAGGTTGACCTAGCTGTTTTGGAATTTGCTATGGAAACCAGGATGTCCTTGAACTCACTGCCAGTGATGGCAGCTACACATGACTTCTTTGACTGGATGATCAAGGGAATAGGAGGGTCTCCCTGGGTACAGGCCTTGAACCAGGAAGGTGAATTATAAGGCCCATAGCAGTAGAGAGACAATCCCAGTTCTCAGCAGACTCAAGCAGATCTCAGTGAGTTTGAGGCCATCCTGGTCTACAAAGCAAGTTCCAGGACAGTCGGGACTACACAGAGAAACCCTGTCTCGAAAACCAACAGGAAAAATAAAAAGACTCAAGGTTAGAGGAGGCAAAGTCATGAACATAGCAAGTATAGATGACTCCATGAAGCTACCAGGGCCCATCAGAGTGCAGAAACAGAACCTCAAACTGAAACTTTAAAAGAAAGCACAAGTAATGACACCTGCCACCAGCCTGACAGTTTTGAACCCTGGGACCTACATGGTGGAAGGAAAGAACCCAGAAAATTGTCCTTGATTCCACAAGTGTGCTGTGGGGCGTGGACACCCCTGTAATCCCCCACACAAAATAAATCAATAGAAAATGGAAGTCAGGTGTGGTGGCATGCACACCTGCATTCTACAGCTCTCAGGAGGCAGAAGCAGGAGTGGGAGAAGTTTAAGGCTAGCCTGGTCTACATGACCAGTTCCAGGCCAGCCAGGACTACATAATGAGGCCCTGTCTCAAAAAGACAGATAGATAAACAAACAAAAACCCCAAAGTGGCCGGGTGGTGGTGGCAAACACTTTCATCCCAGCACTCAGGGGGCAGAGGCAGGCAGATCTCTGTGAGTTCCAGACCAGCCTGGTCTACAAGAGCTAGTTCGAGGACATTCTCCAAAGTCAGAGAGAAACCCTGTCTCAAAAAACCAAAAAAACAAAAGTAGAAGCATTTTGTTTTCCCTGAGTGGTTGAACAGGCTGTTAGTACATCCATGCTAGGGGCTATTACTCAATGATTAAAAAGTACTGAGCCACTGGTGACATGAGACAACACGAATGAATCTCAAAATAAAAATGCGGAACGTCAGCCAGACCGAAGAGGGAAGACTGCATACTGTTTGATTCCATTTAGAGAAAATTACAGAAAATGTCAGCTAATGTAAAAGCAGTAGATTAGTGGATGCCTGGGGATGGAGTGAGAACAGCATGATGCAGGGTCTAAAAGGACCAGGAAGCCACAGGGGCTGGAGAGACGGCTCAGCAGTTAAGAT